TGGCTGCCCAGATGTCTGGCAATGGTGGCCTCTGCAAAAAGGGAGCATTAGACAGTGGGCTTGCTCTGTAATCCAAAAGGACAGCAGCCTCTGGTGGTGCTAATTCACCCATTTGTCCTGCTGCCTGGAAACCATCCAGAAACACAAATCCATCACTCAGCAAGCATTTACTGAAGCTGCCTCTGGGCCTAGTATTGGGCTAAATCCTTGCTTTTGAGCAGCTTACAATCTAATTACTGTAATTAGAGACCAATTGAGTATTAAACTATGTGACACTAAGTAGGAGTTTGAAGCAAACGATCACTGTGGGCTGGGGTATCTGGGAGAGATCTCATAGAGATGGCAGCCCTTTGAGAAAAATAACACAATAATGCTGAGGTTTCCACCACGTCCGATAAAAGATTACGGGGATAGGGGAGGGATGTTGGATGTTGGGCGAGGTGGAAGGGACACATCTGGGGAAGGTAGATGTTGGCTCTCCTGGTGCCCTGCCAGAGTCCCTCATCACAAAGAAAATAGACTTTCTCAATGGTTATAAGAAAATTCAGGGAGAGGCAGAGCGATGGCTCAGCAGCTAAGATCATGTACTGCTTTTGCACTGGGTGACTCCCAACTGCCTGCAACTCAGTCCTTAAGAGGACCCAATCCATGGGCACTTGCACACAGGTACACATGCCTACACAGAGAGAAACACAGAATGACATGCAACTAAATTTCTAAAAAAGGAAATACAATCTCTCCTGAAACCATTTAGCATTGGAATTATGATGGTGACTGTGTGTGTGTGTGTGTGTGTGTGTGTGTGTGTGTGTGTGTCAGACATCATGAATTTCTTTTGGTCTCCAATATAGAAATATCAGTGAAGGAAATGACTTGCTACTAATGCCAGCACAAGCTACAGGCAAAGCTGAAGGCTATGATGGTCATTCCCCAAAGGGCAAAGGGGGAAGAGGGAGACAACTGGTAAGTCCCCTGGATAAGGATCAAGCTGACAGAGCAGCAATAGTCCATCTGCTCATCTGCTAACTTGTGAGTTTCAATCTAAGTAATTAACAGAAGTAGCAAGTTTATTTTCCTTTAATTATTAACTTTGCCTTCATCTGAATATTTTAAATAAACTATGAGCATTATGCAACTAAATCCAATCTGATGAGCACCGTGTGGAAGGGCTTCTATTTGCTTTTAATTTGTCTTTAAAAAAAAAAAAAGGAAAAAAAAAGAAAAGATTTGATACTTGAAGAGGGCAAATGCTTTAAAACCTTTTGACATAATTGTAAGTTAAATGCATCTATTCCAACCCAAATAAGATGGTACATTATCTTTTCTCCTTGCTACTCTTAAAAGTAGTATATAAAGAAAGAGAAATAACATAGTTGAAGCCAAAATAAATATTTCAGTGTCTCCAATCTCACTTCCATATTTATAAACAAACTTAAAAAGTCATGGTAACGAGGTAAAGCTGCGCCAGGAGCCACACTACCCAGCTGCAAAGTCATGGAACTTGAATGAGCATTGTGGAACTCCAGCCTTGTCACCTTTCCCACCCTCCATCAGGAGACAGGAAATGCTTTCCAAAGGGCCAGACGCTATTATAGACCATGTGAGCCAGAGTTGTCCCTCCTGCTTGTGTGTCCTTGCAGCACCAAAGCCAGCACAGAAAGAAACAAAAGGGAGTTGCTGTGATCCCCAGAAAGATTTAATTTTATTTTCATTTTAGGGTCACAAGCCCCTAAACATTATTCAATGGATATTTTTTTCAACTTCTCAGAAATGTTCAAATGAAGTGTATAGGAAAACAGGATGTAGAGGGATTTGGTCCACGGGCCATCTTTGTGGGCTCCTTCTCTAGATTTTTGTTTGTGCTCTAAACCTGTTAAAAGAAAAATTTATTCCAGAACTTGTGAAGATGGGAAAGACAATTTTATTCAGGATTAGAAAGGTATTGACACTATTGTGTTTGTGGTGAGATTTCGAACAAGCTCAGACATAAAAGCAACCGGGGCTTTATAACAAGAGAGCAGGATAGAGGGGTGGGAGAGTCGGGGAAAGTGAAGACAACTGTTGACCCATTAGGTCCTGCTGAACGTAAGAGAAGATCATTTACACCAGTTGTTGGGGTGAACAATTTGGTTCCATATTGAGAGTGGGGGAGAGGTTCCTCTCAAGAGAGCTAACGGGGCCAGGATAGGCTCCAAACCTGTCTCAAAAAACCAAAAAGAGAGAGAGAGAGAGAGAGAGAGAGAGAGAGAGCGCTAACAGGACTCTTGTAAAAAGCTGTGCAGACCCAACAGGCAACAGAGCCAGTGTTGTGGGCTGGTTAAGAGGCCTTGGAACCTGACAAACACTTGGCCAATGACAGCCTTTGTCAAAGCAAAGTTTCCTTACTAGTTGCCATTGATATTTGGTGTCCAGCGTGTAAGTCTCCTTGAAAATCAGGTGAGAAACCACCACATAAGCTTGTTTTATTAGCTCAACATACAAAAATGTAGGGTCCTAAAAATGTCAAACTTTCACCACAACTCATGCCCGTCTGACCCATAAAAATAACATCACCCATCAGGCCTTTCCTCACTACACACAATTAGCGCCCTGTGAAGTAAGGAAATAGCTGGCAGTTGTCTGCACAGATGAAATGAATGCAGTCTCATTCCTTTGCCAAAAGGCAGGGAAATCAATTGCTGATGTCTTTTCTCGTCAGGCCTACTCGAGGTCAGCTGATGTGTAACAACTGGGCAAGACAAGCTTTGGCTTCAGCAGGGCTCTTTTAAAGAAAGAATCTATATACTATCTTTAAAACAAACAAAAAAAATTGTAGAGTTGTAGCTTTTGCTTTTACATATCCTCAAGTGGTGCAGTTTAAATCATTTTAAGGCAAGATATCTCTCTGGAAACACACACACACACACACACACACACACACACACCCTCCAAAACTTGTATTTTATGGTTTTATGGCCAGGTGATTACCAGTCTAGAATTCAATGACCTATTGTATTACCATAGGCCATCTAGGATGTCAGAAATACCTTGGACCATTCTCCCACAACCCTGTTAGTTATAATGGAATTCACGTAATGATTTATTTTACTGAGAAGGGAGTCTAGAGTGGAAGTACTTAGTCCTGAGGCCTCCTTTTAATTTTTATTGACAGTGTGCTGTTTAAAATATTCTTACTAGAAAAAAATTATGAATTTTTGGACATACAATAAAGAGGGAAAAAGAAATCAAATGATTCAACAGCTACTTTTGAATTCATATAATTAATTTTCTTTCCCTCCCTTCCATCAGTGTCAAACATATTTCCTTATAAAAAAAAAAGTTACAATTTCTTTCCCCACAGACTGCTCATTCACTGCAACCAAGAGGGAAAAACAACTGAGTACATAGTGAATAAGTCAGACATCTTAACAAAGTGACTAACATCAACATCACCTGCAGAGTCTGCTGGCCTTTGTGTGCCTCCAGATGAGAAAAACAAACAAACAAACAAACAAACAAATAAAAAGACCACTCTGTTGTCAGGAAGAGGGCAGTAATGACAAAGCAGCAGCTGATGTGACAGGGGCAGAAGGACAGGTCTGAAAAAATGCCAGCAGAGGGAGGTGTGTGGTTCAGCGGGGAGAGTGGTAGAGGGGGGTGGAGGAGCAGGAGAGCAGGAGAGAGGAATAGTAGGCACAAGGCCTGGGCCAGGCCCTGAGGCACATGGGAGCACTGTGGAAAGGAAACAGTCAGCAATGTGAAAGGCAAAGGTAATGCTCCAGGATGGAAGGAGATAAAATACAGGACAGCAAAATGTAAGACAGCCCTAGGACGGTTAAGGGGCCTGGAGGAATTTTCTCCAGGGCTTAGCTGAGCCAACTGATGGGATCGGTGAACAGTGATGCTAGAGCAGAGGTAGGAGGATTTTAAATTCAAGGTCACCCTCAGCTGTACAGTGAGTTTGAGGCCAGGCTGAACTACATGAGAAACAAAACACAAAGAGGTGGGGGGGGGTCTTAAAAAAACAAACAATCTTGCCTACATTTGGGTTACTAGCAGTGTTCTCCATATTTGAATTGTACAACAAGGAAGAAAAGTGCAGATATCTTGTCATGACCTTTCATCAATGACTAGAGCATGACATAACCACCCATTCTCAAATTCTGCTACAAAAAGCCAGCAAACACCAGGTCTTCCGGAAGCTTAGATGTAACCAATTTCTCTTAGCTGGGCAGAGGCTCTACAGCCTGCCTGCCTGTGTCCTACCCTTCCTAACTATCTCATGCATGAAGAAAGACTCTCAGTTGGTCTCTTCTGCAGGCACACCCTGGATGGTTCGTTTGGATGTAAGCTTTCTAGCTAGCCTCTTAACATTTTAAGCTATGGCTAAGACTGCTGGAGGGGCCAGCGCTCGAAACTGTTTCACTGAATATACGTGTACAGTTCCTCAACATGACGTGGACATCTTTTTGAATTCTGCAGACTTGGTGTCTGTGACATCCACAGGGATCCTGACCCAGCAGTGGTTGTGCTGGTCCCTAATCTACAACAATCGATCCAAAGTGGTTTTCCCATAGGAACTATCCATGCCTGTGTCCAAAAACTCTGTCAGTGACTGGAAAGAGAATGTAGAAGGTGGTAAACGGAAATTAAACAATTCAACCCTGCTTAGGAATCAGGAAATGTCACATAGCCATCTGCTGAGACCAAGAAGGGAAAACACGCTCACTGCTTTACTTTCTGGTGCTATTTCTTTGAATCCTAATCAGTACTTGTCTCTGGGATAAAATGCCCACACACGATTTCTGGCTCTATGCTTTTACCTTGGTCTTTGTATTCATTTCGCCCTAAATTCAAACTAATCACTTTATCAGAAGTTTACCATGAACCCACAGCCAGCATGACCAGGTGACACTCTACAGAGGACAGATCCCGGGTTGCTTGGCCTACAGATAATACCCAAAAAATGATATGAAGTCAATAAATGTAATGATGGCTGCCAGAAGTGAATTAAGACCAACTGCAAAAAGGAACACACTAAAATTTAATGAGAAGACAATTTCTTAAAGTAGATAAAAACCGAAGAGAAGGTGTACAGCCCATTATTGTAAATTTAAAATCGTGTGCATTCTTTGCCCATAAAACTTCTAAAGTGCCATTACAAACACACCCGCACAAAACCACGCAATTATAAATCCCCTGAAGCATGTAACTGTGATTAGCTGTGTGTGTCCCCCCACCCCCCCCCCCGGGCAATATAAAAATACTACTGCCACAATCACATTCCAGCTTGTAATGTAATTCAAAACAAACAAGTCGGAGACAGTGCTCAAATGGCAGAGTCAACAAACACAGCCGCTTTGCATCAAGGACTTGAATGCAATGAAGAAAAGCCACTGCTGCAGCGCTGGCACTGGCCCTGCGGTGGAACGGCGAGGCCCCCTGTTGGGCAGAGACGCACACTGCACCCTGCATGCGTGACCCTTTTGGAGATTTTGTTCTGAGGTCAAATTTTTAGCTACTCAATTTAAATTTTATCAGCTGTATTTGAAAGAGTAATGGCTTTGCCATTTCGGATTAAGGAAATCATTTTATTCACCCCATAACCATTATTCCTGCATTCTTATCCCAAGTATCATCTGGCTGTAATTTTGGGGGGTATTTTCCTGCACAGCTCAGGCTTGCCTGGAAGTCACGATCCTCTTGCTTCCACCCCGCCCCCCCAGTGCTAGCGTTGCAGTGTGTACCACTATGCCCAGCAGCACCTAGCATTCTCCAGCAAGTCACGTAATTGTTCACTTCTCTCTCATGAGAATACAAGGTCTTTGTTTTGAAGTATAATGTCTTTGTTTTGTTCTAGGAAGATATGGCCCTTACACAATACAACTGTTGTTCTATTATAAGGAACTACATTTTGAGTTTTATCTTTAAAGACTTTTTAAAGCTGGGCGTTGGTGGTGCACGCCTTTAATCCCAGCATTCGGGAGGCAGAGGCAGGCGGGTCTCTGTGAGTTCGAGGCCAGTCGGGTCTCCAGAGCGAGTGCCAGGATAGGCTCCAAAGCCACACAGAGAAACCCTGTCTCGAAAAAAAACCAAAAAAAAAAAAAAGACTTTTTTATGTGTGTGTGTGTGTCTGTGTAAATTGTGGAAATGTGTGCACATTTAAGTGTAGGTGCCCATGGAGTCCCGAAGAGGGTACTGGAGCCCCTGGAACTGGAATTACAGGCGGTTGTGAGCTGCCAGTGTCAGTGCTGTAACTGAACTTGTGTCCTCTGAAAGAGCGGTATATATCCTTAACACCTGAGCCATCTCTCCAGCACCCATTAGTTAACACTACTCCTCGTCAAAGAAGTCAGGAATACAATTTTATTGTAGCAATGTGCTATGATTTAAAAATGACCCTTAAGCACTTACTTTAAAAGCAACCATTTTGTCTAAATACTTTAAAGCAATGTTCTAGGGTTGGAGAGAAGATTATCAGTCAGTATAGTGGCAGAAGGACCTGAGTTCAATCCCCTAAAATCACATTTAAAAGAAAGAAGGGAGGGAGGGAGGGTGTGGTGGTGCAGGTCTGTAATTCCTAGAGGACACCGGTGGCACCCTGGGCATTCCTGGCCAGCTGGCCTAGCTGAATGATTGATTTCAGGCCAGTAAGAAACCTAGCCTAAAAAATAAAAGCAAACAAACCAAAAAACACAGTAGAAAGAGGAGATGGGGGGGGGGAGCTACATCTAAGGAAAGGCACCTGAGATTGTCCTTTGCCTCCACACCCACACACGAATACCTGACATACACAGTCATATATATAAAATCATATTACAAACTAGCATGAGCCCAGGTCCCCATGTCCTAGTGGAGTCATGTGCAGGACTGGGTTTGCATACACTCAGTCAAAGCCCAAGGCTTTCCTTCTTCTACTTCCTGTTTGGGTCTTGATCAATCTTCCAAAGACCTCTCTCTCTCTCTCTCTCTCTCTCTCTCTCTCTTTCTCTCTTTCTTTTTTTTGCTTACTTGTGTATGTGTGTGGTGTCAATGTATGACTATGTATTTGCATCTTATGTACACACTTGTGTGTTGGGGGCGTGCATGTGTGAAGTATAGGGTTGAATCCTGGGGCCCTCCTAGATCACTCTTCACTTTCTTCACTGAGGCAGCATCTCTCATTTGAACACAGAGCTCACCAATAAGGGCCGACCTAACTTCCTTGCATTGGGATCTCAGAAACACAACTCTGCCTTCTAAGCACTGGAATTGCAGGTAGGGCCACCAAGCCCGCCTGGCATTTTTGGGTACTGGGGATCAAGGCCTCTTGCTTGCACAGCAAGCACTTTGTCACTCAGCCATCTCCCCAGCCCTCGAACAGCTTCCTAAAGCTGTTCTGAAGCTCTGGCTTCCTAAAGCTGTGGCTGAAGGGTGGGCACTGCTTACTGATCTCTGTGACTTCAAATCTTAATCCTTCCCCTCCCTGAGACACTCTTTTAGCTTGGGAAAGCTAATAGTTGTTTACATTTGTCAGACTTTAAAAGGGCTCATTTGTTCCCTTAACAGAGCAAATGACGAGAGACACCATTTTCCCACACATTAACAACAACATATAAACATGACCAGCAACGCCAACGGCTCTCAGTCGGGAATTCTGTCCAGGTCTCCAAAGGGTACTAGTCTTTCATCAAAACATCAGGATTTCTGACAATCCTTTTTCCGAACTTTTGATTTTGGTGCTGAAAAAAAGAGAGACAGACAGAAATGGAAAATGAGGAACGCTCACACTGAGTTGTTTCAAGGTGGGACACTGTGCACTTGGAGAAGACTGACCATTTGGGTTTTCTTGTTTGTAGAAGGTCTTTAGGAGCTCCACAGCCTCCTCAGCATGATATCCAGGGATGCACTGAGGAAGGAAGGAACATAAGGTGAGCATTGGCAATGACCATGTGGAGGTTACACCCCAACAGCAATGTATACACAATTATGACATGAACAGACTCCACACAATAGTCACTAATCAGAACAAATATTAGCATGGTTAAAGATGTAGATTTCCAAAGGAATTGGTTCCCAGCCTTAGCTGGCGTCTCTCTCAATCAATCACTACTGTTGGTACTTAAACTCTCTCTGGTATGTAACAGGACCATAGAAGGATGCTGTACTGATTAGATGAGATGCTAAACAGGTGCTTATGAAGCATGACAATTTGTACCTGCTGTTATTTTCTAGGGTTTCACCAAGTGCGGGATGCTATTCACCTACTGCAGGTAAACTATTCATGTTAGAACAAATCTAGTCCACAGCTAAGAATGACAAGCTAGCAATCGTTTTTATACTTCTAAGAGATTTTTTTTAAAGATTATTGAACAAAAACACTATGTGACAGAGACATGTTTCTCACAAGAGCTAAAAATATTCACTATCCAGTCCTTTACAGGAAACATTTTTTCAAGTTTTGCTATGGAAGATTTAAGAAAACTGTTGAGTTTGTTTTTACTCTGGGATCTAGGCAGAAGAGATGACAATATGTGAAAGAACAAATAAGAAATGAGAGCTGCAAGGAACAATGGATGAAATATGGGGTAAAGATGAATCTGAAAATATACAGAAGCTGGGAAGCACACTTCTGGGAGGATGGGTTCTGTGTGTGGGAACAGGCTGAAGGGTTTGCTAGGGCAAGGGAAAGAAATTAAAGACATATGAGATGGGCCCGAATGCTCAGAGGTTTGGCACTAGGCTGGAGAGACTGGAAAGGCTTTAACCCACCCTGCTGAAGTTTATGGAACAATACAGTCATCCTCAAAACGGTGCCCAGCCAAGCACCTGCAGACTGGAGGCTAGCCTCTCTGGGGCATTGCTAAGAATGAACTTCGCTTTCCAAAGCACTGGCCTGTTCTTGCCTCAGAACATTCCAGACTCCACCTTCAGTCTCATTTCCTCCTCATCTCATCCCCACTGTCTTGTGCTCTCAAGCTGCCACTGCAGCTGCCTCTCAGGCATCGCAAGGCTCTGTAGTCACGTGATGACTGGACACACAAGCTTCATTTAGAATCCTCTCCTCCCTTGGTTTCGCAGTCTGCCATCCTAACCACTGCGGCTCAATGTGTGCAGGTACTGGTGCTATCCAGAACCTCTACCTCTGCAAATGTCCATCTGAACCCACCAGGTCCTCTTCCCAGGGTTGGAGAGCAGTGCTGCTCCATCAATACTGTTAATTACATGGGCATACTCCACAAGCACAGACGCTTGTCCCTGCCTTTTTATCCATCTGACCCACGGTCTGAGTACAGAGGAAAGCAAAATCCAAGAAGAAACATGCAGAAACACAGAGGTGGAAAAAAAAATAATAATAACGATGGGTCTAGCTAGAACTCGGGCATTGTATCGTATGAACTAGAGCTACCATGTAGCTTTTACAGAAGTAATATTCTTACAAAAATAAATGTTTTAAACAGAAGAGATATTAAAAATAAATATACATCTTTTTAAAAAAATAGTTCCTCAGGACTCTGTAAATTTTATGCTGCTAATAACAGTATTATAACCTATAGAATCTGTAACCCTGATGTGAGATCCCATCCCCCCTTCGTTCTTTGTCCCATGAGCCCAGCCAAAGGAAAGGAAGAAAACACAGCATCCAGAAGCCTGGAATACCAAGGTGTTAGCACTTCCAAAGACCTCCTGAGAATATAATTTGGCATTAAACCTTGATCTATGCTTCAAACCATGGGCATTTATTTTCCATTGTGCCAGTATGGCCATATAGATGAACTGTAAATTAACTTTTCAGGTTGAGGAAGACTGCACTGAGACCCCTGAGAGAGAACTGCTCAAGACTTCATGTCCCAACATTATTTTAATGTGTGTGTATGCGTGTGTGTGTGTGTGTGTGTGTGTGTGTGTGTGTGTGTGTGCGCGCGCGCGCGCGCGCGCTCACACATGGACATGCATGTATGATATGTGCATGTATGTGTACAAGCTAGCAGGCAAGTGGAGCTCAGAGCACAAGTTCCAGTTTCTGCACCTTATGGACACAGAGTCTCTCATTGTTTGAAGCTAAGTACAGCAGGCTAGTTGGCCAGGACTCTCCTTGTCTCTGCATCCCATCTCACTACAGGACCCCTGGATTCTAGATACCAGCTTCCGCATCTGGCCTTCAGGTCCTCATAGTGCATGTCAAACACTTTACTCACTGACTGAGCTGTCTCCTTGGCTCCTCACCTACATTTTAGAGAGTAATGCTCCACCTATGTCTGACCCACAAGGACACATCTTAGTTTTGTCCAGAAACTCTGAGAAATTACTTAGGTCGTTCTCCTACAGGGAGCACCACATGTACCGAGCCAGCAATTCGTGCAGTTATATAAGCAATGTTTGGGCGGCTCCTAGAAACGACTGGAAAAATGAAGTCACTTTACAGACATCTTTAATAATCAACCTCATTTACTCCCCATCACTCTCTTACAGTTTCTTTCTGATGTGATGGTAGAGACGTCTGTTCTTAAATGCAACAGTAGCTAGGAGAGCTTACACTCAGCTGGAAAATTCAAGGCAGAATGCTTTACCAAACTTGCTCTATGCAAGATTGGGGCTCTATAAGTCCTCACCACAGCCTGTGAACATGAGAGGTCTTCAAGGAAGACTCCAGCATTTATTGAATCTTTTTCTTTTTCAAGTATAATACCTTGGGATTAACCTTCCATCTTGGAGAAAAACAAGTATAGAAAATCGGGTATGCATCCAGACAATGTAGATTCTTAATGCTTACACATTCACAAATAAAACTTCCAACAGTGTGACAAAAGTTCAAAGGTAATTAGAATTTCTAACAGCTAAAAGACATTAAGTTCTCTGGTAATGGGGGAGTCTCAGCATTAAAAGGCATCTAAAAATAATGACATCGCAATGACAACTAGATAGTAATAATGGTAATAATGACAAGGTGATGAAATTTGTGCCTAAATACTGTTGGCTGTGAATAGCATCCAGGTCGCTGATGCTGGCCAAGTTCCATCACCACATTCCAGAGCTAGCATTTGCTCCAACAGAGATAGTCTCTAAGCTCACACAAAGTTCCAGTGAACCCCATTAGGAGCTAACAGTTCAGGGAAGTTTCAGATTCTCCTGTAGGACCGATTCTGGAAGTCAAGGGAAGGGACACACATTTTCCTCCAGTGAGATGTAAAGAATTCAACCCAGGGTCCCAAGATACTGTCATATTCTGTCATGGGCTTTTGGAATACTGACCACACACAATTGGCATGTCCATCAGGAGATGGATAAATAGAAGAAAGGGGTGAGAGTGAAGATAGGGAGGGAGGGGAAGGAGTGAGGACGGAGGAAGGAGAGGAAAGGAGGGAAGAAAGAAGAGAGGGAGGGAGGGAGGGAGGGAGGAAGGGAGGGAGGGAGGGAGGGCATAAACAGAATCTTCCCTGGAATGGTCTTCCAGTACTGGGAAGGTCAGCAGAGGCAATGTTTAGGACGGAACCACAACCACCAAACCGTTCATTCTGACAGCCATAGACGACCAGCGGGATTTATAGTACAGAATTAAAGTCTGTCACGGATGTGCAGAACCATGGGAAGGGCAGGCTGATGCTAGCCATCTTAGAGAGTTCAGTCCAGATTTCAAAACAATGAAAGTTCGTGGTTTAAAATAATAAAATTCACTTATACAAAAGAAAAGAAAGAGGTTTTGAGTATCTAGAAATCAAAATCTAGTAGTTGTGGGTCAGCAAGATGGCCCAGTTGTCAAAAGCCCTCACCATGCATGTACAAGGATAATATCAGATGACATTTTCGCTTCTTAATTACCCTGAACTTATTTTTTTTTGTACTTTGTGATAGCTATTCACGACAAAAACTGATTGACAGAAAATATTTAAATTACCCATAATCTGTCATCCAAAGGCAAAACATATTCCTCAGAATGTGTCCTGTGCTCTAACTTAATTTTGATTCATCCTTACACAAGAGTTTAAGTTCGTTCCAAGCTTTGCTTTCTATAGCTTATGGATTCAATAGTTCTGTGGCTATTGCCACAGAGAAAGAACAGGTAACTTTCCCGTCTCTGGCTAAATTATACAATGTGTCTCATAACTGTTTCCACACTTTAAGAAACTGAAAGCTGGGGAGGGGTGTAGCTCTATGACAGAGCACACACTCAGAATGTGCAAGAGCCTGGCTTCACTCCTCAACATCGAAAAGAAAATCAAAAAGTAAAAAGAGAGACAATGTGTTATGTATCTGACCATTTTCTTGCTCTCAGGCAAGGAAAAGACAGGAAACCCAGAGGTCAAAGGATACTCATGAGGCGGACAGCAGCTGCACACATGATGCATGGCTCCACGGTGACGTACAGTACAGTGTGTTCAAATACTTCAGCAGGACTACGGCTGTGTTGATGGCACCAGTCTAGGACCTGATCAATGGCCACCATTTCAGCATGCCGAGTAGCCTTAAAAGAGATAGATGTGCATTGACGTTGTTCATTTCATACAGCCATTGTCTTTAAGATATGCAAAACATAAATTCAAAAAGCATTCCTACCATTTCCACCTGCCTTGGAACATTAGGTTTCAGGATGCCCTTAGTAGCTCCCCAGTTCAGATTCATCACCAACAGAGATGCCTAATCCAAGATATTACACAAACCTTGCTACAGTTTTAGTGAAATTCCCATGGAAAGCTTTCATTAAAATGTTACAGAGATAATAAGTCTCAAAAAAAAAAAAAGATGTCTGTGGTTTCTGAATATTTTAAGGACAGCTGAAATTTTCATAAGCTTGTGTTCTAGTTTCAGATAGATTTTCAACTGACCCCAGTCTAAGGCAGGCTTCACTGAGCTCACTAGAACATCATCGTGCATACTGCAGGAGAGGAGATTTCACAACACAACTGACTCTAAAAAACACAGACCTGAGACTTCAGCTAGTCTGTGGGAGGCAGTACTACAGGAGAAATCACCCAGTATGCATGTGGAATCAATCCCACTGACATTTGAATCCTCAGTGATGCACTGTTGGTCTCAAGCAAGCTTTGCATACTCTGTATCTAGAGTTTATTGTTACCTCCTCTACAGCTCCTGAGCCATCTGAGTCTCTCAGAGCACAGTGTGGCATGATGCTCTTTAGGTACTCTTCATCTTCTTTCTCCTTATTAACAGTTTTACTGCAGGGGTGAAAGGATGGCTCGAAGATTAAGAGCACTTGCTGCTCTTGCAGAAGACCAGAGTTCAGTTTCTAACACCCACACTTGGTGGCTTACAGCAGCTTGTCACTCCAGTGAGCTCCAACACTCCTTTCTTGCCTCTGAAGGCACCTGCATACCTATGGTACACACACACACACACACACACACACACACACACACACACACACTGTCAAGTACCAGTTTCCTCTGAGATAAGGCCTTCTATTTTAGACATGAATTCCTTAAGACCCAGGATGTTCTAGAGCAGTGGATCTCAACCTCCTTAATGCTGTGACCCTTTAATACAGTTTTTCATGTTGTGATGACCCCAGCTAGAAGATTATTTTCATAGCTACTTCTTAGTTATAATTTTGCTACTGTTATAAATCATAATGTAAATGTGTTTTCTCACGGTCTTAAGCAACTGCTGTGAATGGGTTGTTTGACTCCCCTCCCCCATTCCCTCTCCCCCCTCCCTCCACCAAAGGGATTGTGACCCACAGGTTCAGAACTATTGTTCTAGGGGGAGGTGAAACATTCCATCCTTCAGGAAGCTCAGAAAGTAAACATCTCAAAGTCCCTGAGACTGACTGGATACTCCTCCCTCCTCAAGTGCATATAAGCAAGCAGTAAGGGTTGATAAGAGACACTCTTACAGCCCAGCAGTGGTGATGCCCTTTGATCCCAGCACTCCAGAGGCAGAGGCAGGCAGATCTTGAGTTTGAGGCCAGCCTGGTCTACAAATCTAGTTCCAGGACAGCCAGAGGTATAAAGAGAAACACTGTCTCAAAAAACAAAAACAAACAACAAAAAGAGACCAGCCGCCATACTGCTCAGAACACCTGAGGTGCTTGAAAGAAATGCTCTCCAACCTGACGAGCTGTTCACAACCTGTGCAATGAGCTTTAGGTTTCTGGCTTTTGTGAGCCATCACACAGGCTGGGGTGAGTGTCCCTGATGTAGCTGTCATTAAGTCATTTCTGCTCTTGTAAAATGCCTCTACTTTGGGTCTGCAGTTGGTTCATCATCTGAGGTGAGCAGGCATTAGTTCACATCTCTCCGGAGTAGTGTCATACAACACACACATGAAAGAAAATAAACCTCTAAAATAACTTAAGGCAAACTCCTAAACACATGTAACATATCAATAATTAAGTCAAGAAGATGTAGACAGATTAAACCTATAACAATTAACGAAATTGAAACAATAATCAAAAGTCTCCCATAAAGGGAGGAATAGAGGAGAATAGGATAAGCGATATCGTTACAGAGGGAGCCATTATAGGTTTGAGGAGAGATCTGGCACTCGTGAGATTTCCAGAGATCTACAGGGATGATACCAACTGGTAACCTAAGCAATAGTGGAGAGGCTACCTTAAATGCCCTTCCCTTATAATGAGATTGAGGACTACCTTATATGCTATCCTAGAGCCTTCATCCAGTGGCTGAAGCAGAGGCAGACACCCACAGCTAAAAACTGAACTGAACTCCTGGAACCCAGTTGCAGAGAGAGAGGAGTGATGAGCAAAGGGGTCAAGACCAGGCTGGTAAAACCCACAGAAACAGCTGACCTGAACAAGGGGGAGAGCTCAGGGACCCCAGACTGATGGCTGAGAGGCCAGCATGGGACTGATCCAGACCCCCTGAACATGGATATCAGTGAGGAGGCCTAGGCAATCTATGGGGCCTCAGGTAGTAGATCAGTATTTATCCCTGCCATATGGGAGCCCATTCATATGGAAATTTCCCCCATGGAGGGCCTCACCCTCCCCAGGGAGGGGAGGGGGGATGGGGCAAGGGTTGGGGGGATTGGTGAGGGACAGGGGAGGTGGGGAGGGAAAGAGAGCTGGGACTGACATGTGAAGCAAGCTTTTTTTCTAATTTAAATTAAAAAAAAAATCTGTATTTCAATAAAAAAAAAAAAAAATAGTCTTCCACAAAGAAAAGCCCAGGACTGGATGGATTCATGGCCAAATTCTACCAAGCTTTTAAGAAAGACCTAACACCAGTATTCCTCAGACTGTTGCACAAAATGAAAAGGGAAAGAACATTACAACCTCCTACAATGTATCTTAACCTGATAGCAAAACCAGATGAGGGTACAACAAAGAAAGAAAACTGTAGATCATCTTTCTTGATGAACATAGATGCAAAATTTCTCAATATTCTCACAAACTAAATGAAGAATGTAGTAGTTCACACATTACAATCACACTGATTTCATCCCAGAGGTAAACGGATGGCTCAACATATATACAAATCAATAAATGCAGTTAGAGTCTTAAAGACATAAATAACACAATCATCTCAATAGAAGAAAAGGACATAGGCAAAGTTCAACATACATTCATGATAAAAAGTCCTGAAAAATGTAAGAATAGAGGTACTCTATCTTAATATAATAACTGCCATATATGACAAGCCTTACAGTCAACAAACTAAATGAGGAAAAACTTTAAACATTTTCTTGAAATAACACAATGAGAAAAGAGTGATGACTTTTTCTCATATTACTCAAAATAGTGTTCAACGTCTTAACTAGAGCAGTAGGACGAGAGAAAGAAATGAAAGGCATATACTTCAGAGGGGATTTATATCTCATTTTTGGATGACATGATTGCATACTTAAGAAACCTTGTGGATTCTACCAGAAAATCTTTACATCTGACACTTTCAACAAAGTTGCAGGATAAAAACTTAGCATAGACAAAAACAGTAGATTATCTATGTACCAATAACCAACTATGCAAGAAAGAAATCAGGAAAAATCTCACCTGTATAGTAGCTGTTAAAAATATCTAGAAGTAAATTGCATTAATGAAGTCAAAACCTCTATAGTACAATGAAAACTTGAGGCATTCAAGAAAGAAATTTAAGAAAATAGAAAAGCCCACCCATGAGCATGGATTAGCAGAATTAATGTTGTAAAAATAGCTGTAGTACTAAGAACAATCTACAGAGTCAATGCAATCCCCATCAAAATTCTAATGGCATTCTTTGCAAAACCAACCTTAATATGGAATCACAAAAGACTCCATATTAAGCTAAAGCAATCCTAAGCAAAAAGAACAATTCTGAAGGGATATATTACAATACCTGACCTCAAATTACTCTACAGATCCATTGTGACAAAACAGTAGGTCCTGGCACAAAAGTAGGCATAAAGATCAGTGAAATAGAATAGAGAACCCCAAACAAATTCGCATAGCTATGAGCACCTGATATCTGACAATCATAAAAACATGCATTGGAAAAAAGATAGCCTCTGCAACAAATGGTGCTGAGAAGAATGGATTTCTATGACTACAATTAAACCCATTTCTTTCACCCCACACAAAAATCAATGTCAAATGGATTAAAGATGTTAATATAAAATCTGAAATGTTTTAGCCCCTAGAAGAAAATTGGGAACTACTTCAAGAGACAGGTATAAACAAAAACTTTCTAAAAAAAAAAAAAAATTCCAATAGCCCAGGTAATTAACAGCTTGAGGAACTGCTGTACAAGGAAAGCTAAATGCAGAATGAAGAGAGGGGCTTCAGAATTGGAAAGAATCTTTGCCAACTACACCTTGCTGTGAAAAGACACAATGACCACAGAAACTTACAGAAGAAAGCATTTAACTTGGGGCTGGCTTATAGTTACAGAGGGGTAATCCATGATCATCTTGGCAGGGAGTATGGTAGCAGGCAGGCATATGTGGTGCTGGAGCAGCAGGTGAAAGATACACCCTGATCCACAAGCAAAAGGCAGCTATATATATTTCAGAGAGAGAGAGAGAGAGAGAGAGAGAGAGAGAGAGACAGACAGACAGACAGACAGACAGACAGACAGACTAGGTTTGAACCCTCCAAGCCCACCCCTACTGACACACCTCCTCCAACAAGGCAACACCTCCTAGTCCATACTAAACAATTCCCCAACTGGGAACCACACATTCAAATATTTGACCCTATTGGATCACTCTGATTCAAAGCACTACATGTATAAGTACATTTGTGTGAAGGCATGTGCACCTACTTGCATGCATATGGAGGTTAGGGTAGGATTTCAGGTGCCCCATGCATCACTCTCTCTCTTTTCCTTTAAGACAGTCTCTCACTGAACCTGGGCATGGCTGCAGCAATCCTAGATACCTTCCGATCTAGCCCGCCCACAGCTCTGGGGCCACAGGCACCTGCATGTCCACATCTAGTTTTTTATGTAGGTTCTGGGGATTGAAATCTAGAGACCTTGTACTTGCAGTGCAAGCAATCTTACCACATTTTCCCAACCCCCAAATATTTGTCTTGCAAAGTAACCCAGATTCAGAACAAACACTGCATGTTTTCTCTCGAAGATGGAACAAAGGTTTAAAATTTCATATATGTATACATGTAAGGGTACAGATCGTAAAACCATGAAAGGGGATTAAGGGAGAGTGAGTTGGGCAAGTGGAAAAAGAATGAAAATAAAAAAAAAAGAGGGAACGCCTTTAATCCCAGTGCTTGGGAGGCAGAGGCAGGCAGATCACTGAGTTCAAGGGCAGCCTGGTCTACAAAGCAAGTTCCAGGACAGCCAGGACTACACAGAGAAATCCTGTCTTGAAATACAGACACACACACACACACACACACACACACACACACACACACCAAACAAACAAACAAACAAACAAACAAACAGAGGACAACACACTACATGTGACAATAAAGCAGAAGGGGACTAGCTAGCTGTGGAGGAGAGGGACTGGTACAAAGGACTGGGAGAAGGTCATTGAAGACCCAGCGAAGACCATGTATAAATAGCTCATAAAGAAATGTGTTACTTTGTATACAAATTTTAAAACTACCAAAACAGTCCAAAATAAAAAAACCTTAATGTAAACCACAGATTTTCTATGCAATAATTTATAATATCTGTGACAATAACATTTATCAACAATTGAAACTGAGTGCTAACTCTATACAAGCTAACTAAATTTTTTGTTTGCTTTTTTTTTTTGCTTGTTTTGTTTTTTTTCTAAGACAGGGTTTCTCTGTGTAGCTATGAAGCCTGTCCTGAAAAATCACTCTGTAGACCAGGTTGGCCTCAAACTCACAGAGATCCACCTGCCTCTGCCTCCCGGGTGCTAGGATTAAAGGTGTGTGTCACCACCACCCGGCTATACATGTTAACTAAATTCTATATGTGATTAAAAAAAAAAAATCTGCCCTCAACAAGCACAACCCAGGTGAGGCTAACAGAAACGTGCTCGTTTTCCTGTAACCTGGAGCACAGTGAGAAAAGAGTTGGCATTGTCCTATGATGCTGTGACAGCCAGTGGCAGGCAGGAGCAAGCCTGCATGATTACAGAATCAGAAACCGGGGACAGAAGGACTCTATAGAAGAGGGTATGGCTATGGCTGCAAACCAAGACAACAAGAGAACTTAACACCAAAGATTCCTCCAACTGGAATCTGTAAAGCTCAGATTCAGGATTCCTGAGAGATGGCATCCTCACAGCTCTCAATAAATACCAGTTGAATGGAAATCACCTTGGCCAAACCACTCTTTTAACCCTAGAGAAACACAAGCTAAGCTGGCTTATCACGCATTGAGAACACACAGGGAAAGGGCATGGGAGTTACAGAGCAGTGTTGATATCACAGCCCAAAGCAGGACTCTGGGCTCCTCATATTGGAGTCCAGAGCCTTTCTATGCTGCATTCAAAGGGTGAGTCTATGTGAGACAGGAATAATCCTGGTGGTTAACTCCTGGTTAACTTTGTCTGAGAAATCAAAGTTAGTGGGGATTAGGTCATTCGTTCTCATATAAAACACACTGTATCAAACCACATGACATAGATGAGGTGCTGTGGCAATTATTTAAAACAGAACTACTAAGTAAGCATCAACATAGCCTCTAACTGCAGCATGTGTATTATCTGCCTTGAATGTTTTTATATTGTCATAACTGCTTATAGATTTGGGTTCCTACCTGACATGAGTTTTACTAAACCTTGGGGTTGTGATGGATGAACTTTAAAGGCTTAAGAGGCCCAGTACTGAGAGCAGACTGTTATATGCTCCAAAAGCACATAAGATCAAAGTCCACATGAATGACATTATAGTTATGTTATCCTTCAGTCCATCTGGTACTTTATAACCATAGAATGTAGCAAGCACTTTCACCTACTTCAACTTCCCAAACATGTCCACAGTGACACACTGTTGTGCCACCATGTTTAAGAAGCATAGCTTTATACCATGAACTTTCCAATCTGACCACAATACATCAACATGTTATTAAAGCTGAATCACATGGAGTTGAAGACAGCTCATCTTTAAGACCTTATTCCATTGACTATCCAAAATGTTGTCTCCAAAAAAATCCTTTTATGCTTCCCTCAATTTGTACCTTGAGGGTTCCCCTCTTCCTCACAGAAGAAAACAATGTAAAGAAACTAAAAGGAATGTATTGCAAGTTAAATGGATCCCCTTTGCAAAGGTTAATTTCCAGGCTGAATTTGTTACAAGCAGCCCTGGACTCCTTTCTTCTGCACTGACATTCGGAAGCAACAAAATTCCTTTTGGGTTTCACTTAAGTGTTAAAGGGTAACATAATGAAATAAAAAACAAAGAAATGAAAAACATTTCTTAGCTTTTGGCTAATATCACAAATGTAGAAACAGAAAATCTACTAGAATTTTATAGCTTCATTGAACTTTTCTGAGTATTTGACATCTAAAATATATATAAAATCATTGTTACAATCTGAAAAAAAAATAACATTTACAAAAGAGAAATGGGCTGGAGAGATGGCTCCTAGGTAAAGGGCTTGCTGGGAAAAAAAGAGGGCCTGAATACAGACCTACAGCACCCATGTAAATACCCAGACATAGACACATGCATTCATAGACAATCCAGTGTAGAAGAAAGGAAAGGGCTAGCGGGATTCCTAGGGTTCTCTGGCCAGTTTCCCTAGATGAATGGATGAGCTCCAGGTGCAGGGAGAGATCCTGTCTCAAAAGTAAGGTGGAAAGTGGTAGAGGAAGGCTCTTGACTTCAACCTGCAGCCTGCACAGGCACGAACGCACACACGCATACCCCCCACATAAACCACACATACATACAAAGGTGTGGGGGGAGATACTGACCCACAGGTTACATTAGGTCTTGTCTTGCCGGCTGGTCCCCACCTGGTCCCCACCATGGTCCACACCATAGTATGTTTCTGCATTTATACTGCTCAACTCACATTTTTTGTTTGATTCACTTCATTTCTTCCCTTCCCCACAACTTCATTGTTATAGACCATCAGACAGCCAACAGGAACTTCAGTATTTTCAAGTGCTTCTTTGGCCTGAAACACAAAATGGAAATCTCAGAGGTGATGTGCAATGTTTGAAAAGGAAGAGGTGTAATGAGAGCAGATGTGTGGATAGTGACCAAGACAAACATGCCTGCACTTTCCCTTCTCAAATCTGGTGCCATCGTGCTCGTGCTGTGTAGTGCTGTGTTCTCTTCTAGGTGTCTATGTTAAGAAGGACTCGGGAGTGTCTCCCTTCACAGGTCCTGTGCCTCACTTTCTCTCACTGGGAGCACATATAATCATTAGCTTTGGGCTGGTGTTCTACACATGCCAAAGACACCCCTTCTCAGAGACGATACGCATATTTACAAAGAGGTGGGACAATACATAGCATATGTAAACATTTTGTTACAATACTTTCCCTTGATAAAATTCTACTTGATTACTTATTTTTTTTCTTCTCCGAGAAGATAGAAACTACCCCATGTGGTACCAATACCATAAAAATGATCAGACTGGATGTTACTCTGTCCCACACTTCTATTCTAAGAGACACCAGTAAGTATACTTTATGTAAAAATGGCACAAACTTGGAAAAGATTTTGGAAGTTTCTTTTAAAGACAAATATGTATAAAATCTATGATCCACATCACACACACACACACACATACACGAAATACACAGTAAGCTGATGAAACTTTAGTAAGCTCTTTGGAGTATAGCAATGAGATTTACCTAGCTCTGATAGTATACTACAGTTAGGCAAGCTGTTACCCTGAAGAAAACTGCATGAGTGGATCCTTTCTATATACATTTTTACTTTTTGCAATTTCCTATGGTTTATAATTATTTCAAAGTGAAAAGTTAGTAACTATAACTAAGGATCTAGCAAGCCTATTGAAGGGGAACATAAGGCAAGAGTGTAGACTGATATAAAAGACCATAGAAAAATACAGGCTAAAGAGGAAAGGGGTTATCAGCCGGGTCAAGTCAGTGAGAAAAGTAATTTAGGTGGCATGGTGGAAAAGAAAAGTATTGTCTTGAAAATGATTTCCTGTGGGTCAGATTTTCATCTTTGAACCAGACCTCTCCCAGTAGACCTCTTAAGAGGTCATGCTATGTCTACATCTCAAGTATTCTTACTCTGGGAGGTAGGGAATATATGTAGGTAAGTTGTTCTTTTGTTTTTAAATGCAGTTTGGTCTGGGCCTATTTAAGCACCTTTTAATGATAATTTTGTTTGCAATCTTAAAGTGATGGGGACACTGATCTCCATGGTGCAGATGAGGAAGGAAACTGAGGCACAGAGAAGTCATATAACTTGGCCATCTGAGAGATCTGTAATGAAAGTCTAGGAAGTCTGACTTTCCTCATTACTCACTTCACAAATTACTGGGGCAACAATTAGTGTTGGGTGCTGGGTCCTCTGCATGGCTCTCCCTCTAACTTCTCTTTAGTAACTAGTGACTTTGCTGATCAGACACTTCCTCAATTTGGGGTTTAGAGACAGTCAAGAGACAAAAGGAGAGAGGGGAGCTAGAGTGAGAGACATGGGGAGTTTGAGACTAAAAACTAAGAGGATAAATGGAGGCGGGCAAGAAGGCTTTCATAAGCCTATTTCCTGAAGAACTGGAGGTGTGATGACATGAGCAGCTTCAAAAACACAGAACAGAATCACAGACTGGGCCAGTGATATGGTTCCTCTGGAAAAGGAGCTTGCTGTGAAAGCCTGATGACCTGAGTTCAATCCCTGGATCCCACAATGGAAGGAGAAAAATCTCTGTCCTCTCAAAAGTTGTCCTCTAATCTTTATACATATATGTGCAAGCACACACACACAGACACACAGACACACAGACACACACACACACATTATTTTTAAACTCCCCAACCAAGCAGGAAGTACCTAGGTAGAAGGAAAGAGATAGGGGGTGTTAAGAGCCCTGTCCACTGTGTACCTGACATGGTGTTATGCCCAAATTCTGAACCCCAAAATCACCAAGAGATCCATTTCAATGCAAAAGCATTGAGTCTTTTAGTGCACAAGCTAACCCCATTAGGTCGGGCCTTTCATCCATCCACCATGGCAGAAGACTAAGGAAAGACCCACCCCCCCCCCAAGCCACGGGACAGAGATCTTATAGGACAGTGTGAGGGGAGTGCCTAGGGTTACACACAGGCTCAGGATTGGTGTGCCTCCAGGCTTGGAGGACTTGTCCTGTGTTGATTGGTCAACTGGTTGTTATGGCCCATAGAACCACCCAGGGTGGTTCTCTGTACATCACTGCTGGGCACTTGTCCTTAAAGCACACCCAGAGCCATCAACACAGCCCTGTCGCTAACTTCTGATTGGTTCCTTGCCACGAGGCGGGCATCTGACCTCCTAGTGACCAAGGCAAGGTCAGGCAAGCACATGTTAAGCTGTTATGGCTGCCAAAAAAACAGGGAGCTGGTCCCTTCAATGGTACACAGCACTGCTGAGCTGGCAGCCTTTCTCTGCTCCCAGGTCAACAGTGGACTGGTACCTAGTTCCTCTGGGTCCTCTCTTCTTCCTTCCAGCAAATTTATCTCACTAGAAATGATAGGACCACCTTAAAGAGACAAACAACATTACTGATAAGGAATGGTCTTTTAGGCCATGCTGAGAGTGAGTGGCTGAGCAACTGTAATGGCAGTCCAGAGAAAGGGAGATGAGAAGAATACAGAGTCCATGGCAGTCGATTTAGAGGCACTAAAAATGTGCATACATTTCCTCTACTGATAAGTTCAAAACCTGTAAAAAACAAACAAACAAACAAAACAAAACAAAACAAAACTGGAAATCCATGTCACTCCATCCTATCTGAGACTTCCCAATGCCCCTCCGATCAAAAGTGCAAAAGAGTTCAAGTACAACAGGTCTCATTGTGTAGATGGCTTGGAATTTAAGAAGCCAGCCTTCTTTGGAAGAGGCCAAAGCTCTGCCCCTGAAATGGTGACTTGATCTTCCCTAAACTAACAAATTCTCAACTTCAAAACTGAAGAACAAAGGCTCTCTTTATCTCACCCCAGGTTCTGAAAAAGACCACAAAGCAAGAAAGGGGTTAATAATAATAAAAAGAAGAAATATTCCATTTTTGGAAAAATGTGTTTTTGTTTTCACAAGGACAGAAATATATGAAGGATGCTCACAAAATGTTAGCTGTGTTATCTCTGAGGTCTGGACTTTTAGATAATTTTTATGTAAATTGCTAAATCTTCTAGACTTTAATTTCTATCAGTTTGACCTTCTGTAACCACCGGAATAAAAAGTTGAAATATTTTAACTATGTAAAAGAATAAACAAAAAGAATATTCCTACATCAACGGCTGAGTTCAGTTTTAAGGCCTTTATAAGGACGTAAACAAATTGGTGTGTAAACGGCTATACAACCTACATTCCATATTGTTCACAGAATGAAAACCTAGCGTCAGAAAGACTTCTATCCCTGGCACACATCAATATGGGTAAAGCTTGGAACAACATGTAAATATGACCAGAGACCTGCATGATCAGCAATCCCTAAAGGGATCGAAGAAAGGGAATACAAGGGCAGAGAAAAGTATTGTAGAAGGAGTAAGTGAATGATAGATGAGCATTGTAGTGGTACACGTTTTCATATGACCCTCTACCAGAAACTTCTTCAGCTTCCTTCCGTTATATATGTTCAAGGGTGTCGGGAGCAAAGGCATAAAATAAAGTAACTGTGTGGGTTTGAAAGGAAGATAGGCAGGGAGGTAGAACAGCAGCTAGGGCTACATGTAATACATACAGCACACCGGTCTCTGTATTTTCCCTGAACTCCAATTACTATGAGACAAAGTTAAAGAAAATTTCCCGATAATAAAACAAGCTGTTGATATTTTGAGAGCCCATACATAGTGGTGATAAGAAAGCGCGCCAGACACATTTGCTCCCGGGGTTGGATGTGGCTGGGAGAAAGTTTGCACTCTCAGCATCCACCTGCCGGCTTCCTCACCATTCGCATCGCCTCCTCCATCCACTTTTCGGTCTCCTGTGCCGACACCACGCACGAGCCGTCTGGAGCGGTGGTGGAGTCCACCTCCTCCTCCATACCGCCGCCACTCAAGAGACCCAGGCCGAGGGAAAGAGAGGACAGCAGCGGAACGCGGCGGGCGCGGGCCCTTGCTTCCGGGAAGACAGAAAAAGGTGAGGCACCCGGGAGTTATTTGTGGACGGACCCAGGCGTCCCGGACCAGTAAGCAACGACAGGAGGACCGAAAGCGCTGCTGCTCCGCTGTAGTCCACGCCCCCTTCCTCCGCTCCGGCGACAACCTCTGCGCAAAGAAGCGTTTGTGGTTTCCGAAAAGCACGGAGCCCTGCCAACGCGCTCCTGCCGGAGGTCCGGCCCAGGTGGACGAAGACTCGGTTTCCTGGTGAGCCAGCCCCTCTCCCCTAGGCAACCCACACACCCAGAGTCTGAAGATGCTGAGATCAATGTGGAATTTTCTGAAACGTCACAAAAAGAAATGCATCTTCCTGGGCACAGTTCTTGGAGGTGAGTGACAACGTGCTTTGGAAGGGGACGTTGGCAGAAAGGAGTGACAGAGGTGACTTCTAAAACAGGCAAGGCCCACTGATCCTGGTAAGGGATATGTAGAGGAGATTGGCTCAACTGTCATAGGAGAACCTCTGAGGCTCTTTTATCTGCTCTCTCTGTGCCCTTTGCCCCTCATTCTGCCTCCCCCTTTTTCCCCACGAGACTTCGGGAACGTACCCCAATGAAGTTTCTTTTCAAATCACTATTCTTGTATAGATCCATTTGCTTCCCAATTCTCTTCTGTTGCTTTCCTGCTAGATTTCTTCATTCTTGTTGGCGCTCCAGTACTCTGACTTTCAACCTTTCACAGGAGTTTCGAAATATCCTAGGGCAATTAGCTTAAGTCTGCACTTTGGGGTGGTGTTTAAAGTTAACTTGAAAATAGCTGTAACATGTTGCTCTAAGATACACTAGATAAATTGGGGTGAAAATAAGTATTTTTGATTGTCCCAATTCTAAAATACAAATTATGCGTCAACAACATGCTTAGGATTGAGTTATTCTTTAGTGTTGTCAAGTTTATCAAGGTTATGGCCATTGCCGTTTTGCTAATATAGTTGAGTTCACTGGCTGAGAGGTAAGTTAGAAACACATAGGATAAAAATCTCGATGGTGGACTTGTATATTTGTGGCAGAGTGCTTGCTTAGGCTGACTGCATTGGATCCGAAGCAACACACACACACACACACACACACTTTAAACACTATGTCTTTGTAATACACCCAGTTCATAATTCTGGGATTTTAAAAAGGGATTAGAAAATCTTTGGAATCACACAAAAAAGTAATCTGAAAACTTTAAAATAATTTTTAAACCTTGAGTTTTAAGCAATCTGGGCATTGGTGTCTCACGCCTTTAACCCTAGCACTCAGGAGGAAGAGGCATGAGGATCTCTGTGAATTCGAGGCCAGCCTGGTCTACAGAGCCAGTTCCAGGACAACCTCCAAAGCAATACAGAGAAACCCTGTCTTGAAAAAAAAAATCACCACTCTCCTCTTATCCTAAAATAGTCAGTCACTGATAAGGCAATATCCTGTTCTGCATATATCTGAAGTGTAGCACAATTGGATAATGACTGATTATCACCTTTGAGAAATACTTTATAGATACAATGTGTTTTCTATTACCTTCAGCCTCTAATATCTATGGTGTATTTAAATTGTGCCAATACTACAGAATACATATAAATAAAAATATTTGCCCTACCAAAGGAAATATAATTGTCTCTCACAATTTCAGAGGGGAGATCCTACCCCTTAAGGTTTATGTGACACCTAATGGCAAATCAGAAATAATCACAGGAGAAATTAAAGAGTATATGATATAGTAATAGATTTTCTTTTGGAACTCTATTGAGAGCTTTATAATTGCAGATTAAGAGGAAGGAAAAGCTGGGTATCGTGGGACATGCCTTTAATCCCAGCACTTGGAGGCAGAGGCAGGCAGATCACTTGAGTTGGAGGCCTGCTCTACATAGTTGAGTTCCAGAACTGACAGAGCTTCATAGTGAAACTGTCTCAAAAAAAAAAAAAAAAAGACACATAATAGAAACACTGCAGTTTTCTAACAAAATAGAAAGTCTTAAAATAGTTCAACATATCTAATTTTGATTTGTAAAGAATTCATATATTTTATGTGTCATGTGGAAATTCCTATCTTACATTTCAGTTTAAGAAATATTTATTAATTGGTTATACTTCGAGAGGTAGTAAGATCGAATAGGTACAATTTATAATCATTAACATTTATTAGAGGCCCACTGTATGTTGAACACAATGTTAAACTCTTTCCAGCCAATAGGAATGACAGCAGAATAGTTATGTTTATGCCATTTTAAAAATGTACAAATAGAGCCCATAGAATTAAGAAGCTTGCCAACTGTTTGAGTTACTAACAAGGAAATATGAATTCAACCCCAGGAGTGTTAGATCCCAATGCATATTACTATTCTATACCACTCTGCCTTTGTGGATTCTTTGATCTTTTAAGAACTAAGAAATAAGTGAAAATACTATTAAAGGGCCATGATAGAGTTGAATACAGAGCATTGATTGAAACAAAGCAATATGGAGTTTATAAAATGAGAAAGGATTTCATAAGAGGAGTGGCACATTTTGACACACTTGAAAGCTGAGTAAGGTGTTATTATGCTTGATCAAAGGAGTTCAGATATTTAGTACTGGAAAAACACAGGCAAGCAGAACTTTAAGTAGTGTGGCTTCAAAAGTCAGAATTTGTTTCCCTGCATTTTGGATGATAGTTGCTTCATGTCTGTCTATGCAGTTTGACCATTTGAGGTGGGCCAAGAGAAGTTGTTCTCAAATGGTTTGATGGGAAATATCCTTTGTACTCTTAGATACTAAGCACCCCACCCCACCCCAAAGCCACCTAAGGTCTGTATCTATTAGCAGTTATCACTGTTAAAATCTACAAATATGGTAAGAGGTTTTTTAAGTATTTATTAGCTCATGTTCAATAGCAGTAGTAAACCTATTAAATATTAGCATAAGATATTTTCATCGGTCACTGAGAAGAATGGCATTGTTTTACAATTGCATACCTCTTTAGTTTGGCTTAACTGTAGAAAGCTAAATTCAAATCCCTTCTGTAGTCTCAGTCATGTGTGAAACCACCCATTAATTAGCTTCTAAAATTCTCCCCTGTCCACTCAGGAAGGAGTGTAGAATGCCAGGGACAACATTTTAGTATGACAAAAATATGTGGATCTCACAGATCCCTAAACAGACTCCAGGGATGCCCAGACCATTCTTTGAAAGCCAGTGCACAAGAGAATGTGTTACAGAGCAAAGGAGCCAGATGCAGGCTTACTGTCTTTCTGATTTTTAAAAAAGCACAGAACACTGAGAGCTGTACCTTAAGCCTTGTAATGTTTAACCTCTTTGAGTTTTGGTTTTCTTTCTTCTTTTTCTTTTTTTTTTGTCATTTTTAACTCAACATTAAGAACAATATATTGAACTCTGAATATACAAGGAATGAGACACCATTTCTGACTTTGGGGAACTCACGCTATAGTCTGGAAAGTAGGAGTAGAAATAAACAAAGTAGTATAAAGTGTGAAAAACCTTCTTCACTGTGTATAATGTGGGCAGGATCATGTGTGGTTGCTTCTCAGAGTTTACTATGGATGAAAACCATTTAAAGTGCTTCAGAAAATTTGCCCTTTGGATTTTAGTCCTTCAGATGTAGTACAGTTCAAGAATGCCTCATATTGGACCACCAGGTGATACAGCACTGGCCTACCATTGACAAGTTCATTGCCCAGCACTGGAAAAAAGAAACTGAAATAGAATCAAAACATCTGAACCTGGGGACCTGCCAAATTAGAAGTGATAGTGATTAATTGTTTTCATTATTGTTATAGAAAATAAATGTGGCTGGGCAGTAGTGGCACATGCCTTTAATACCAGCACTCGGGAGGCAGAGGTAGGCGGATCTCTGAGAGTTCAAGGCCATCCTGGTCTACAGAGAAAGTTCAAGGACAGCCAGGGCTACACAGAGAAGCCCTGTATGAAGAAGAAGAAGAAGAAGAAGAAGAAGAAGAAGAAGAAGAAGAAGAGAATTGTGCTGTAGAAATTTTTGTCCTGGGAGACAAGACTAAGAGGTGGTGTTTAAAACAAACTATACGATATTTTGCTCAACTAACCATGAAAGGAAATGTCAAAACATTTTCACTTATTTTTTGGTATTTAGTAGATATTTTCATTGCTAATAAAGAAGGCTATAGTTACAGAGGGAATTTGAAACTATTTATTTTTACACACAAAGAAAATGCATCCACAGGGAGAGTAAGTCACCAGGTTGCCTCATGTGCTGTTTTCTAGCCCTGAGTCAGGCTGCCAGGGATGTATGTACAGCCCTGAGTATTATATCTTAGCTAATGATATTTTTTCTTTCCTTAATATTTCCTGGAGAAACAAATCTAAAAAAAGTCAATTATAAATTTGTATATGGGATCCTAAGTGAACTAACCTTGAATAGGAATATCAGTGCTAACTAAAGAAAAACAATTGGTCTAGGCTTAAGCCAATTTTATGTGTGACTTTTCTAGGGCTTCCACAATGAAGACCTACAAACTGAGTGCCTTATGAAACTGAAGTTTATCTTATAATTTTGAAAGTTAATAGTACACCATCAAGGTGTCAGCAGAGTGTGCTTCTGTCACGGGTACTAGGCTGTGCCCCATGATGGCCATCTTGTTTTCACACAGTCTTCTGCAACAGAAGTCTGAGTACCATAGAGCCACAGAGAGCCTCTAGGAACCTTCCAAGTGTCTTCTCAGATCAGCACATATCTGTCTAAATTTCACTTTCTTAACAGGACACTGGCCATGTTGGTTTGGGGCCCATTGGTCTCACTTTGTATTGAGCTCACATTCTAGGTGCTCAGCCTTCAATATATTAACCTGGCATAAAGGGGGAATGGGCACAATTCAACCTGTAACATATCATTTCCCTTTTTAGCTTTAGCTAGAATATACTGCACTCCTCAAATAAATGCAAAATTCCTAAAGTTTTATTTTTTAATCAGCTTTATTAAGAATATGATGAAAGGGACAGGCCATCTCCCTAA